CACACCTTCAATGAATGGCTTATTTTGTAAATGTTTTTTTCATACATTGGGCGCATTGCATTATAAGATGCAATCTACAATGCATCCACTAAATGGAGCTACGATCAAGGAAACGCCAACAGAACGATCATTTAATAAATTAGCGACACAGTTCACTGAACCAACAGCAAGTTGCTGCTGCTGCTCGATTTCCGTGTTCAACTGTGTAACTGATCGCCTTAAGTTTGAACTCTGCGTTGTCAGCATGTCTCGAGCAAGGAGCCATTTTGGGGTTGAAATATTACCGTAATGGCCATACACAAGGCGCATCGGATTTTAAGGCGCGCTGTGAGCTTTTAAGAAAATGGAAGGCTTTTGGGTGCGCCTTTTAGTGCGGAAAATACGGTAACAGTACATTCACACTGAATTTCTCCTCCCATGATTTTTGTAGCTAACTGAACGAAGATCTGCCATTTTCATTTCTCCCCCTTGGCAACCAGGCAACACGGAAAGACATGTCAAAGCCTCTTGTTGTGTTGGATCTGGTTTTACAAAGAAAAAAAAAAGCAATAGTTTTACGTGCGATTGTATATTTCAGAGGGTTGAAATGGAGTAGCTTGCAGCTTTCTGTGTAACAGTCATTTTTTAAATTTTTTATTTTTTTTGCCGAAAGTAAAGCGACATAGCTCACCCTTGTTTCCTCTTCAGGGGCTGGGTGGCCATCGGGAATATGTTAATTTTCCCGAACGGTTGGTGTATTACCAGGCCAGTCCTGGCCATCTCGGCCAACCACCCAGACACCCCCCATCGCGATTACTTTTCAGCACTTGACGGCTACATCAACGGCGACTACATTTCGGCTCATGACGGCCCGTCGACCACAACTTTTCAACGAAATGACGGCCGCGCCCATGCGGGAATTTACGAATTCATTGCATCATATGCCCTTTAAACGAACCAAATCAATCATAGATTTGATAGCTAATTGAAAGCTAATTAGCCGCACGGTCGTTTTCGTATTTAGTACAACTTTCCGAAACCGAGGAAACAATTTGGAGTGGCAAACGACATTCTCGTGTTTCACAGCTTTTATTTTATTTTTTTTTCCCCTTGAGCGACTGTGTTTGGAGAAAAAAGGGAAACCTTCAGTCTGCGTCGGCCCCTGCCGCCACTTTAATATTGCGTCTGTGTGATGTTGTGAACTGTCCTTGTCTCTCGGTGTTTGATGGCTGCTGCTTGTGGTCATTTCATAGCCAGAAAATGAGTGCAGAAAAGGTTGAAATGCAATTCCCACCCGATAATAATTTTTTTTCTGACCTCCTGATGTGTGACTAACATGGAGCGAAAGACATCTGAGGCCTTCCTGTTAGCAAGAGAGTGTCCCTGACTCTCTGCATTAGATTGTCGTCAATTTATGTCTGCTGCGCCTTATAGCTATCTTCAATGACGATGATCAAAAATGCCATCGAAGTAAACCTCATGTCAGGGTTTGTGGTTTGAGTGTGCAGGACCCAGACGGCTGAAGGGAAGCGTGCAAGAATCTCAAAAGGATTCATATCGAAAAACAAAACAAAAAGGCAATGAATTTGGAATAATCTAAAATATATGAAGAAAGTCCAAAACAACTCAATAATCAAGGTAACAAACAAAAATCAGGGAAAAGGGACTCCCCATGACTGGGAACATAACATGACGGGAGACCGCGATGTAGGATTGTGAGCCTGAGCCCATATTGGGTTTTACGAATAAACGACTCTAATTTCTGTCTTGGCCACATATACTGCATAAAAATTAACACGTTTGGTCCTTTCCAAATTGAGCAGAGTTTTACGGACTGTGTGAAAGCTCTATTTTTCATTATTTGCTAGACATGTTTTTTTTTTCAAGGCTTTTCTGCAGAAATGCGGCATGTCACAGTGATTTGTGTCTCACTCTTGACTCACTGACTTGAGGATATTTCACTCCGCTTCACTGGAAAGCCAAGAGGCAGATGTCAACACTCGCTACTAAACTCAAAAATGTTCACAAATGCTCAACATCATGAGATAGACTTTGTGAAAAAGAAAAAAATATATTGAGCCCATCGAACTGAAAAAAATGATGTGATTATGGACACCGAGCTTTTACACTTTTCATTCAGTAATATTTATTGTTTTGTGTTCGCCTTTTCCCCTGTGATTGGTTGGTGAGCAGTCTCCAGCTCACCGGCATTCCAATTAAGGATAAGCAGCACAGAATGATTGGGTGGAATTTAGCTTTTTTTTAAAAAATTTTTTCTAAAAGCACTTAATTAAAATGCATGTATTCATTTTTATTTTTATTTTAAATAGATTTGTCATTCATTTGTGTCAGTTGATTTGCTGTAACTAATACAGTAAGATAAAAAATGTTGTTCGAATGACAGAAAAAAATCATACATATACAAGTTTTCATTTATTGTATTAAATAATTGGTTAATCCATTCTAATGAAATCGATCATAAATACGACATTCTAAAAAGACTATTCAGCAAACAACACTTTGGACGCTACATTGTACTGATCGAAAGGTGAGTAGTTTTAATTTAGTTTACTTTTATGATGCCGCATCACAAGTTAGTGTTACACTGAGATGACAGTTTGGAATGTTAAAATGTGTATTTAAACATTTGTCATACTTATAAGTGTGATGTTATAGCAACAGTTTGGGCCAAGAACAAATTATTTTTTTCAAAAATGGGAAGATTTCTGGGCGGCACGGTTAGCACGTCCGCCTCACAGTACAGATGTGTAGGGTTTGATTCCGGCTCTGGCCTTCCTTTGTGGAGTTTGCATGTTGTCCCCGTGCCTGTGTGGGTTTTCTACGGGTACTTCGATTTCCACCCACATTCCAAAAACATGCGTGGCAGGCTGAGAGAACACTCTAAATTGTCCCTAGGTGTGAGTGTGACCGTGGATGGTTGTTCGTCTCTGTGTGCCCTGCGATTGGCTGGCAACCGGTTCAGGGTGTGCCCCCTCTACTGCCCAATGACGGCTGGGATAG